TTTCTTTCTGTCCCTCTTCTCTTTCAAGCCTCGAACCTGCCAAAGCCATCAAGCCCATCGACCGTAAGTCCGTTCATCGGATCTGTTCGGGACAGGTTGTGCTCAATCTTGGTACTGCCGTGAAGGAGTTGGTGGAAAACAGCCTGGATGCTGGAGCTACCAACATTGGTAACCTTCTTCTCATCGTAATATCATTAAATTTCATAGACTTACAAAGTACTTCTTTTTCCTCAAAGCAGAGCGTATAGTAGCAGATCTGTGCCAGTGATTTCTGTTTGGGCCAAGCCTGTTCGTAGTGATTTTACTCTTCAGCTCTAGGTGGGCCCGTATAAGCATGTGATTCTGTCAGTGCTATTTTGTTGTAGCCCTTTTTGCCCCTTAAAGATGTATGTGTCCTGTACAGCAGTGGTGATGGGGCTCTGCTAGCCAGTGGCTTCAGGCTGGCAGATGGTTATGGCAGGGTTGCAGCTGCCAGAATGATAGCTGTTATAATTGGGAACGCTTCTGTTCAGGGAATAATGTAGTAGTGAAGCTGAACTATCTGCAAGTACAGGCTGGTTTGTATTAGACTGCCTAACTTTGGACAGCTATGAAGATTTTGTTGTTGTTCAAACTTGACATAGAACCATTATCTGGTTAAGTTGCTTCAAGTACAAAATTAATACTGAATATTGTGTATGAACCTACAGAAATAAAGCACTTCGCTCATTTTTGTAGATATAAAGCTTAAAGATTATGGAGCTGAACTGATAGAGGTTTCAGATAATGGAGGTGGAGTGGAAGAGGAAAACTTTGAAGGCTTGAGTAAGTTGAACCTTTTTCATAATTTGTATTTGGACATTCTGAAAGCATGTTTTCAGTGAGAAAGCTGCTTAAAAACAACAAACAAACAAAACCACCTAAATTTCCTAAGTTTAATAATTTTTAATACATAGTCAGCTTTATATAATGTGTGCATGACCTGTGAGCTTTGAGCAAAATTGGGCTGGGCTGCTGTTGTGGTTATAGTTCTTGTAGCTCGAAAGTAGCCAATTTGATTGCTGATTTAAGTGGAACAAATAATAGAAGTAATTATAGCAGAGAAAGTCCTGTAAATGTTTATTTAGATTTAATCATCCTAGTCATTGAGTCACTCTTGAAGCTGTCAAGCTTTGTGGAAGTGACTGCTTTTGAGAGGTGAATTATAAACCTGAACGCTTGCTGCAAGTGAAACAACACTGCATACATGACTGTCACATTTTCCATTTGATAGTTTTAAACTGCATGAAATGGGAGCAGAAATCTTTGACAGGTACATCAGCAGCAAAGGCAGAACTGTGTACCACGCCAAGGCATCTTGTAATGCATATACCAATAATGCTGTATGAATTTTAGGAATAAAAGGTGTATCTGAGGATTTTAAAGAGATATTGCTTATAGGACAAGGGGAAAGGAAATATGTGGAAGGCTTTTCGCTTCTTGTTATGCATTCAGAATCAACTTGTGTAGACCAGTGTCACTTAGAAGTGAAATATGTATTTTAAATATCTTTTTCCAGCTCTGAAACATTATACATCAAAGATACAAGATTTTTCTGACCTAATACATGTTGAAACATTTGGGTTTCGAGGTGAAGCTCTGAGTTCACTGTGTGCATTAAGGTATTGATATTAAACTTCTTATTAGTAGAAAGTTACTGTATGCACAAAAATAACTGAAGCCAACTTTCCAGTTTACCGTTATTGATAAAATGAGGCTTTGAAAACTTTGTTTCTCAACATTCAGTTGATTCTGAGTTCTTCCCAACTAAAATTATTGTACGATTCTAAGCATCTGAAATGATTTCTGATTCTAAACACCTTATTGGTCCTTTTATTTACAAAATTTGGCATTACTAAGTATGCAGATCTTTACAGAGTGGAACTGTGCACTTGCATGACTGTTTGATCCTCTGATGCAAAGCACTGTAATAGCTAAGTACTTTTTGCCAGGCTGTTACTCATTAAAACTACTTAAACTCCCAAACAAAGTGTACATTTGAAATAGCACAGCTTTTGTGTACAGTTCTGTAATCAAAAATACTCTGCTCTTATGTGTTAGTTTGAGGAATGTCGTGTCCAACAAGACCAGACTTTTTAACATTGCATTTCATAGGAGAAGAATGAAAGGGATACAAGTAAAAATGTTTATATTGTAGTTAGGAAAATGTTACACTATTCTTTAGGTATGCTGTAGTTGTATGTGGTAAAGAGTTAGTTTTAGTTAAATGAATAGTTTTGGTGTAGTTTCTATGCCTGCTGAGGAATGGATAAGAGTAATTCTGTTGCCTTTTCCTTTCCATTAGTGATGTTACCATTTTTACATGTCATAAGTCTGCAAAGGTTGGGACTCGGTTGGTATTTGATCACAATGGTAAAATTACTCAGAAAACACCTTTTCCACGACCACAGGGAACAACTGTGAACATACAGCAGTTGTTTTATACTCTGCCTGTGCGGCATAAGGAATTCCAAAGAAACATTAAAAAGGTAAGTTAGATTAGAAATTATTATTCCAAAAGATTGTCACTCCAAAACTTATTCACTACTGAATGGTACTCAGTTCTCTGAGAATACATTGATTATGTCAGATTATGTCATGCCTGTCTTGGATCTTAAATATGAAAACTGTTCCAGTATTCTTTCCTCTTCTGTTTTGCAATGATTGGTTTTAGAGGTACATTCTCACATGTTCAGATTTTAAAAAGAATCTGTATCATGATCACTTTTGTGAATTATTAAACTCCCTCCCCACCCCCTTTTTGTGTTACCTGAAGATATTGAATGCTATGTTTTAAAAAGAGACATTTCATATAAATGTGAACTTCTTTTTTTTTTTTTTTTTTTTTTTTTTTTTTTTTTTTTTTTTTTTTTTTTTTTTTTTTTTTTTTTTTTTTTTTTTTTTTTTTTTTTTTTTTTTTTTTTTTTTTTTTTTTTTTTTTTTTTTTTTTTTTTTTTTTTATATTGTACTCTTTTTTTTTTTTTTTTTTTTTTTTTTTTTTTTTTTTTTTAATAGGAATATGCAAAAATGGTCCAGCTATTGCAGGCATACTGTATTGTTTCAAAAGGAGTGAGGATTAACTGCACAAATCAAGTTGGCCAAGGGAAAAAAAACTCTGTGGTGTCCACTACTGGGAGTCCTAGTTTAAAGGAAAACATTGGAGCAGTATTTGGGCAAAAGCAGGTATTGCTTTTATTATTGAAAGGAGAGATCATGTAGCTGTATAGAGACATTTTTAATGTCTAGTAAATAGAGGGCTTGTAGAAACCTTTCAAGACGGTAAGAGAATGGAGCATGTGTTGACTTCTAGCACACCCTAGAGGTTGAAGAAGGAGAAACAGTGTAGCCTTCACAGATTGCCTTGAAGTTTCAAAATCTGTTTACAGATGTTTTGATGGAAGACAAATTATTTAGGAAACAGGGTTACAACTGTATTATTACAGCCATCAGGAATATTGAGTGGTAGGCAGCTGCTGGTTGTTGATAAGCACTTCCTCCCTTCACAGTGCCCATGTAGAGATTTCAAAGCCTGGTCATGCTGTGGCTGAAAGACTACCTGAAAAATGTAACTTTATCTTTCCACATAGCAACAAGCATAGCTGAAAATTCAGTGTTGTCTGAATTGAATGTTTAGCTTATAGCCTGCTTATATAATATAAAACATTTAAATGTAAAATTAGTAGAAGATTCTCTAATGACAGAAAAATAATACAGGCATGACTGGGAAAGTGTTTGTGGTAAGTATATCTGTACTTAGACAGCTTGTGATTCAAATAATGTATCTTTTCTAATAGTTTCATTGTTCTCTCAAAAGAAACTTCTATTATTCTTTGCCTTTTGTTTTTGCATAAAGCTTGATAAGGTCATTTGTGTGTAGCTGGAAAGTCCAAATTGTTTTGTTCTGCCTGTGTACATTTTCAAGTACGGGTCTGTGAAACAACTAACGCGAGAGTAGTTATATCAAAGAATGAGAACAAAACCCCCACCATTTTATCAAATGGTTTTTAAGGCTAATAAATAATAGAAGGGAAAAAATGTTTCACTTTTTTTCAGTTGCAGAGCCTAATTCCTTTTGTTCAGCTACCTCCTAATGAAGCTGTTTGTGAAGAATATGGAATCAACGCTACTGATATGCCACAGAATCTTTATAGGTAATTAGAAAAGTATAAACCACTATTGCCAATGGCATCTTACCATAACCCAAAACTAATTAAAAAAAAAAGTGTGTTAGTTAATATTATTGAATAATTACTAAGAACATCATAATAGATATTAGTGTATAATTTAGGGAAAGGCCATCGCATGATTTGAAAAGTTAATTTAGGACTAATGTTGCTAATCAGATGAGAGGGAAGAGCAAAACTACTCTTCCTTGTATCCTACATATTACTGTAATCTTCTGAATGTTACCTTTATCAGTGCCCTGAGTAACTGGATGGATGTATCCATTCTTTATACCTGTATTTCTTTGGTTGTGTTACTTAGAAATGGTACCAGATGAATGTGAATCAGTTTATGTAATTACTCTTTATTGTCTTCAAGTGTACTTTTCTGATCTCTAATTATACGTGAGAGATGGCAAACAGATGCATCAGTATCTGACCAATGAAAGTTCACACCTGACCTGTCTTCTGCTTTCAGAGCAGAAAAACAAATTCCACTTCTCTTGAAATCAATGAGCTACTTTTTCAGTTGTATGATGCCTTTTTGGAGCTGAACATCTAGCCTTTGTCAGATAAGGAATTAGGAAGGAAATAAGTATACATATTTACTGATGCTATATAATAGTGTTTCTTCTAGCCTTTTATAAAATACTCGTCCATTAAATATGCTCAAAGTCTGAAAAATTTCTTCTGCTTTGCTACTCCATTTTACCTTACTGTTGTTGTTGTTGAACAGTATTACAGGCTTCATCTCTCGCTGTGATCATGGTGTTGGAAGGAGTGCAACAGACAGACAGTTTTTCTTTATCAACCAACGTCCATGTGATCCAGCAAAGGTGAGAATTTTATTTTTCGAAGATCACCAGTGCTAACTTGTTTGATCCTCTCAGAAAGCAACTAAATGAGTAGCTGATACCTGTATTTGTGGCTTAATGCTGCAAGTTCCTGCGTCTCAAGTTTTTGTCTTCATTGTGTCTATTTGTATGAACAAAAACTCGATCATACAATATATGATCCAGCTCATTAGTTGTTTTGAAGGGAGTTAAATAACGTGTACTAATGGGAAATAGAAGATAATAGTTTTGACGTTTATTGTTTTTTCACCTCTGCAGGTTGTCAAACTTGTGAATGAAATTTATCATGTATATAATAAACACCAGTATCCATTTGTTGTCCTAAACATTTGTGTAGATTCTGGTAAGTTATGCATATTTTTCAGTAGCTTCAGTAAAGTCTAGAATTTAATTGAAGAATAAATTGTATTTATTTAGAGAATATTGTAACTTTTATCTGTATGACTTCCTGCACTGGGGTGATTCTGTGATCTGCCATTGGTGAGTGACAGCTGGGATCTAGCTGTGGTTCCACTTTTCTCTGCCTCTGCTTTTTCTGTACTCAAAAGTAACTTATCTCAAGTAATGAGAAAAAGTCAATCTTGTGGTTAGCTTAACTACAGCAAAACTTGAATCGTTTTATTGCATGGAATTAGCTTCTGTTTTGTTTGCTGGAATGTTGAGGAAAGTTAAAAGATTCATTTGTAGACTTACTGTGAATGTTAACTGTGCCTTTGGTTTTAATCCTGTGAAATAAAAATAAGGGGTTGAAAGAGCAGAAAACTGACTGATCCAAGGTTGGATTTTTCTCTCTCTCTATTTTTTTTTTTAATTTTTTTTTTTTTTAATTTTTCACATATAATGTGATTGGTGTCCTTTTTGTTTAAGAGTGTGTTGACATCAATGTAACTCCAGACAAAAGGCAAATCTTACTTCAGGAGGAGAAGCTTTTATTAGCAATTCTAAAAACTTCTCTGATGAAGATGTTTGGGAGTGATGTTAACAAACTGAATGTCAATCAGAAACTTCTGGACATTGCAGGTAAGATGCAAAATGTGAAAATTTTGTGTGTGATACATGGTAGAGATTTGAAAATGGAAAAATGTGTTTTTAAAAACCCAAAGAAGAAAGGGAAAAAAATGTCTGGCTGTTGATTCATGTATCTTCCAGGGCAGATTTTTCATGTATTACTTGCATTGAAAGATTGTTACTGGCATCAAATAATAAGTGAGGACCCAAAGTTAAGTGATTGCTATGGAAATTACACATGCCAGCTTGACAGGATTTACAGTCAGCTTTGGGGGGGGGAAGTTAACAGAAATTGAAAAAGATTTCTCCCAAGATAATGGAATAGATCTGATTCCTTTGTTTAAATGTCCTCCAGAAAGAATGGTTACAGTCTCATGAATAAAATCTGAAATTTGAGTAAGAGTTTGATTCTTTCATGATAACTGCAGGAATTGCTTATTCTGCTGTGACTGCATAGTCTTTCAAAGTTGTTTTTCAGTGTTGACACCACCTCATCTTCCTAATTTCTTTCAACAGAACCTCTTGTTAAACAACAGTTCCCTTACTAGTTTTGTCCTCTTCTGTTTTTTTTTTTTTTTTTTTTACTGACATATGGAATCAGTTGTAGCCTGATTCTGTTATTTTAACTTAATCTTTAGTAAAATACATGTTAGACTCTCAATTTCTGAGGTTGAAGTTCTCTAATTATTTACACAAAATCACATATACTGCAAGTATCTATTGTGCCAGCTCTTTACCTTGCCAACGGATTTTTACAGTGACCATTGAAGTATAAGAGCAGTTCCCTTTTCATTGTCACGCAGTCATTAAACTCTTTTGATAATATAAACAAACATGCTGATTGCACTGATTGCTATTCCATTTTAAAAAGAGGTCACAAATTCATCCACATAAGTACTATTAAGTTTCTTAAAGATGTGACTGCTTGTCTGTTGCATTTGAGCCCCATATTCAGTCATTGTCTGAACCATAAGGGCTTCTTTAAGGACTTTGCTATTTTTCTACTTCTCTTTTCACTCCCTTTACTAAAGCACATCATTTTATTAATGTTTCCAGCTAACTTAGCATCTTGAAATACTCTTTATTCTGGTTTTATTAGGCAACTTGAGGAAAACACTTCCTGAAGAGACAGAAAAGCCTCAGGTAGAAATGCTGCCTGACTCTGAAACTGAAAATCCAAGTGGTGAAATAAAAAGAATAATGACTCTTTCTAGATTAAGGGAGTCATTCTCTCTTAGCCAAATGTCAGAGAGTAATTTTCGAAGCCCTAAAAATGTAAAACAGCAGTATGGCTCCCCTAGACAAATGTCACTTGATACCACTTGGAGAACCATGAAGACTCAAAAGGCTATCTTGACTAGGCAGTCCAAGAGTTGCCATAAGAGCGACTCAGAGACATCAACTCCAAGCAGATATTTGAGGAAATTGGAAGATAATGCAGATTCTGGATTTTGTAGCACTTCTGAGTCAGATGCTGGATGTAACACACCAGAAGCTGGGACCTGCATCGGTAATGAAAGTATAATTAATCTTTGTGAAGAAGAATTCTGTAGCTCAGAAGAACAACTTCAGAATGAATGTTTCAGAACTGTTGGATGTAGTGAGAAATCATTGAAATGTGATGTTCAGGACTTGGGCGCTGAACATAAGTTAAATCAAGGGATTGACTGGACTGATCAAAATAAGTTATCTCAAGAATCTGGTAGTTCTTCCCCAAGAATAAAACGTTTTAAAAGTGGAAGCTTTAGAAATGAAGTGGACAACTTTAAGGCAGGCAAATGTCCTGAAGTGAAGAATACTACGAACTATAAGCCAACTGTTGATGTACTGGTGGAAGTTAAAAAGAAAACTGTGCCACTTGAATTCTCTATGAAGGTTTTAGTGGAAAAGGTAAAAAAGGTAATAGAGCAACAACAGAAAAGTACAGAAACACAAAAGTACAGAAGATTTAAAGCAAAAATTAGTCCTGGAGAAAATAAAGTAGCAGAAGATGAATTGAGAAAAGAGATCAGGTATTTTCACCTTCTTAACATACTGTATTCATCAATTAATAAAAATAACTTAGGGAATATACAAGACCTTTCTTGGGGGGTGGGGAAGAGGCTTACATCTACCTGTTAGTTTTGGATATGTCCTTTAGTTAACTTATGCCACTGAAATGTCCATTTGACAAGTTATTTTACCTGACAGAGCAGCTGTTCAAGCTAAATGCAAGCAGAACATGGAAAAAGACACTAAAAAGGTCACAAACATCATAGATTTGGCTTAGTTCAGACTTGTAATTTGCAGCATAGTCAGAGAAACACCAAATTTTTGACTGTTAACTCTGAAAAGTCTGCATAACTTGTATATTTCTCCCCTTGTGAATTTGAAATTGGGTTAAACATGGCTGTGAATATGTTACTTTCAGGTATATACTTGAAATGGGAGATCCTGAGCAAGTCCTCTTTTAATAGCAGACTGTGTTCTGCTAGAAATGGGCTCATCAGTCAGTGGCAGATTCCAGATAACTGTACTTCTTCACATTCATAGCCTGCTTAAATGCGATTTTCTTTTTTTTAATGTATAGTGTGTTCTGCAGAGGGAAAAAGATGTTTTTAAGTTTTACAGTTTAACATGATAGCAGATGACGTGTAACTTATCTGTTTGTATTTTCTATATACAGTAAAGAAATGTTTGCGAAAATGGAAATTATTGGTCAGTTCAATTTAGGGTTTATTATAGCAAAGTTGAATTCTGATCTTTTCATAATTGATCAACATGCTACTGATGAGAAGTACAACTTTGAGATGTTACAACAACACACTGTTCTTCAAGGTCAGAAGCTGATAGTGTGAGTATTTTCAGTGTTTTAACAATAATAATTTTAAAGTTTAATTCAATGTTTCAGAAGGATATTTATGATTATGTAGCATTTTATACATGCAAAACACTGAAAGTGAAAGTTGTTTTTTATATTCTCTATTTCAAAAAGTCAACCTTCACATGAGAAATAAATACCACTAGTACAGTGGTAGCCTGCAGCAAATGAGTGGTCAAACAGATTTCGTGGTGGGCTTGCGTGGGAACCCGTAGTTTGGTAAGGATGATGATATAGTGAAGATGTTGGAGCTGCTGTTGCAACAGGGAGTGCTGCCCAACTTACCTAACTCTGATGAGTAACACTTGGAAGTGATCTGTTCAGTAGTGAGTTGCTTTTTTTTTTTTTAACAAAGCAAAGTGAAATGTTTCAGCAGAGAGCTCTGTATTGGTAGCTCTAGATTGCTTCTTAGCCTGTCTTAAGTGGTCTGCACTATGCAGTGATGCAGTACCATGTTTTTCTCTCTTTCAGGCCTCAAAATCTCAATCTAACGGCTGTAAATGAAAATATACTGATTGAAAACCTGGAAATATTCAGAAAAAATGGTTTTGATTTTGTCATAAATGAAAATGGTGAGTTTGGGCCAGAATTGCTGGAAGTAAAGAAGTTGAACAGTTTCATGTCATTTATTATGCAAAAGTCCCTTTTGGTCATTATCAGAAACTTTGAAATAATATGTATGGTACTATATAGTTTGTTTGGATTTTAATATTTATGATTCTGTGGTCTCTTTGCACTATTTGACAGAACATTGTAGAGTATTTATCTCTCCAGCTTTTTACAGAAGTTTCTGAAGGCCCTTTGGAGTAAGCTGGATGTGTTACATTAAAATCCTTTTGTTTTACTAGTACACTTGCTGGTTCCAGCAGGGTTCCATCTATTTGTATATTAATAAGTCTATATTAATAGCTTTAATATAATAAAATTTTAATTCAATTTTAAATTAATAGCTACCATTGGTAAGTGATGCACTTGGGTTTTCCTTTGGGATTGACTTGCTATGTACTTCTGAGCAAATTGCATAACTTGCAAGCTCCTTATTGTTTTCCTTATACAGCAAGGATCATCAAAATGCTGTGTGTTACTGTTGTCCTTTCACCTGGTGTGCAGAGAGCTGATTAACACACACAGTAGAGATACTTGTTTATTCCATGTCTGCGCGGAGATGGGTGCTAGGTGGTAACACTCAGAGTCTAACAGCTGTTCACTTTTGCACATTTAAAACAGTGAAAATACGTAACAGTCTGTATCTATATATATTTTCCTATACGTAACAGTCTGTATCTACAATCATTGGCTCTTAGGTTCTCTCGTCTCTGTTTAAAGATACAGTATATATTAATTTCACTATGCATGTTCTTTGAGTAAGGGTCTCTGTGGACAAGGGTCCCTTTTAGGAGCACAGTTACCTTCTGTTTTGCTGAGCTCTTCAAAATTACTTCTACATTCCTAATCTTTCTGAAGTCAGTTGTTACTCTTTTGATCCAGATGGTTTATTTATGGGTTGTCTACCTTCCCTCAAGGTCCTTAATCTTGTAATGAAATGTTGTTTTTCTTAGCTCAATGCAATTCTGAACTCAAGATTTTCAAGCTTTTGCACACATAGTCCTTTACAAAATCTTACCTTCCTCATTGCCACTTTGGGAAGTCGCTACAGATTTCTTCCATATTCTTAATTCCAGAATCTACATTTTTTTATCTAAAGTACTGTTAATTATCAATCCCTTATCAACAAAAATCCTTAATTATTTTGTAGTCACATAACCTCAAAATAGTTTCATAAATGTTTTGTTTGTCAAAATCAAAGGGTTTGTTAGAGATTGGATCTATCTGCTTTTAAGTCTGCAAGCAGTTTATTTCTTAATGTTAAAAGGGTATCTGCCATAGTTACCATTTCGGTTAGTTAGCAACATCCATCAAAAGACTAAATTTAAACCTAAGCAGATATGCAGATCACATCATATTAATGTATCCAAGTAGTTTTTCTCTCAAGAAAAAGTAATTATCTGTAGTGCTCTGTTTGTTTCTTTATTAATTGCTGCAAATCTTTCAGCTCCTGTAACTCAAAGAGTTAAATTAATATCGTTGCCAACAAGCAAAAACTGGACTTTCGGTCCACAAGACATAGATGAGCTGATCTTCATGTTAAGTGACTGCCCTGGAGTCATGTGTAGGCCTTCCAGGGTCAGGCAGATGTTTGCTTCTCGAGCTTGCAGGAAGTCTGTAAGTACTGCACCGGATGGTTGTTTTCAAATAAATACTGTCTTTTCTGTTGTATTATAGGTTTCTGTTGTGTTATAGGCTGTATCTGTATGTGTATTGCAGGGGAAGTTTATTTACTGTTGAGTGTCAACAGCTAGTGTCCTCCATTTTGTTCTATGTGTTTTTATTTAGTGTAACTTGGGGAAAAATTCTGATAGTTTTTTATATGTTTCAAACTAGTGCACTTAGGAACATACTTAGCTGTATTTTGTCTTCTGATCATCTTGTAGTTCTTTTAATGCCTTGCACAGTACTACTTACTGTAGTATCTGAAGAACTGCTCTTACCTGTGTCAGTTGTCAATATGGAGGAAGAAAATAATAGTTGGTTTTTTTGCCTTTACTTGCAGGTGATGATTGGAACTGCACTGAATGTGCAGGAAATGAGAAAACTGATCACCCATATGGGTGAGATTGAGCATCCCTGGAACTGCCCCCATGGAAGGCCTACTATGAGACACATAGTCAGTTTAGACTTGATTTCAACAGAATAAGTCAGTTTGATTTTAATTCTTGGCAATATTTTGAGCTTTTATCATAACTCTTATTTTGAGTAAAAAATTTTAGTCAAATCTTCACATTTGAAAACAGTAACACTTAAAGGCATTCAGCAGGGTTTCATTGTTACTCTTACCAAGTCAACAGTATCAACGTACTGGAATTCACATGTAAATAACGTTTCTTTTATTGCAATTTACTGTATTATTTTTGCAATCAAGACTTTTTAAAAATAAATGTGACTTTGTATATAAAGATCAAGAGTAGGTGAACCTCATTTATAGCAAATACACTGATTCTTAAAGTGGAATGTGAATTTAAGTCTGTAGTAATGCCATAAAGCAAACATTAACTTCCTATGTTTGTACAACCTGTATATGATATTTAAAGAAAATGTAAATTATATACAAGTGTAAATACTTGTGTGGGTTTTTTTACTTACACTAAAGCTGGGTTTCATTAGGTAATTACTTCAAGCATTACTGTTGCATTTAATGCTGGTATCTGTGTTTAAGGCTTCAATAGAATAAATTGCCTGGCGTATTTACTTTTAATTAGTATTGTTACCATCCATATTCCAAACATTTTTTGTTCAAGTACAGGGATTCCTTTTCTGAGAATGAATGGAAAAGAGCTGTCTCACCAGGCACTACTGATCAGGTCAGTCCAAATTCTGTCTTGGTAGAATCTAAGTAGTTAGAAAATGTGTCTTTTTGAGTCAGAAATCCATTAAAACAAATCACTCGGCTCTTCCATTTCTGTAGGACTGAGGTGTGACCAGAGCAATCCTCTATGTGTGTGTGTGTTGATGCCTTTTCATCAGCACTTCCATTTACTGTTCACGGTGAGGGGCGCCTGGCCCTGGTGTGGCTGATGTGGGGGGCCGAGGTGAAGCCGTGTGCACCTTCTCTGTACCTGTCACACCTGCGAGTGTGAATAAACCCCCTCTATTGTGTGGGGCAAGGGCAGCGCCTGTAACCGGGTATTTCCCACACGTGGTTTCTCTGCGTTAAACCGAACGCAGACACGGCCGTTTCTCTCCGCTCCGGAGTAATGCAGCGTCGATCTCCGCAAGGGCGGGCCGGCCTGGCTGCGTGCCCGCCGCGGGGC